ATTATGAATTATATCCTCAACTGCGCAACCTTGTATAATTAATAAAATTTTTATACATATTTTATAAATAGATAAGCTGTCTATTTGCTAAGCTTCCAAAAGCTTCTCACGAGGTAAAAGCTGGCTTTTATCTAGATAAGCTCATACACAGTCGATAATGTAGATATAGGAACCTTGACCCTGGTGAACTCCATGGTTTATTGTTATATAAAATGTACAATTTATGTACTTGTCAAATTTTTGTCTTAGTGCAATTATTGAATGCTTTTAATGCTTTATCGTAACTACACATTTATGCATGCTTATTTAAATTGAAAGCATTTCAAACATAAAAATAAAAAATAGAATCAACATTATATCAATTAACATAATTAGTATTGTGGAAAAAAACTTCATATATGTTATTTGAAGTTGATGATATTAGTATGTATATGTCTGAAGTTTCTCGGTACCCCGGAGCTCTGAAATTTAATTATTAATATACCGCTATCGATAGATTTAACATTAAGAGTTCATTAAAATGTTTTTGATAGCATTACTATTTTTGTAATACATATTTTTTTTATTTGAATGATACTTATGATAATTTTTTTTGTCGAGAGAAATGATTTGTATTGAAGATTTATGACAGTAGTTAATTTCACACATAGATACATATGTGTATAATATATTGCTGTTTTACTTTTATGTCTATGATGTCTCGGAATTTAAAACTATCTGCAAAATAAATGCCTTTAAATAAAATTAGAGATTAGCACGTGACAAATTATTAGCAAACACTGAAAAATGTACCAAATAAATGTTGACCTTGTTTAGCATGTGCTGAATAAAATTTAAAAAAATATACATATATGTATATGTATATGTGCGTGTGTGTGTATTAAAATTATAAAATATTTAAAAATGAACTTTGTACGCATATTACGATTGCATAACAATTAGACCTATGTTCTTGTTTGGCATCTCATTATTTTTCCTCTCTGTTCTCTATGTAAATTAATCTCTAATATAAATCTAAGTTCCTAAGAAGTTCTGATAAGTCTAAAGCCAAGTTTTTTGTCGAACAGACGTACCGGTATACAGTCGAAGTTGAAATCGTGAAATGCTTTTATCTTCTCGGAGATGGCGCGCTAGGTGCTCTTCCCCAAATGTTAGGGCGTCTCCCCGAATGGATTCGAGGACCAGCATCCACCGATGCCTGATTTCTCTTTTTTGCTATCCAATTCACCGTCCATCGAAAAGCCTTTGCGAATTCGCCGAAGGACTCGGCGTGTCCACCGACATGTTTTCAGCGGGGGGTGCTTTCTTTCTTTCTTTATATTATATATATATCTCTCCCAACACACATCCTTCCGCGAATCCACGCACCAAATTTCCACCTTTCCTCATCTCTTTTGTAGCTCCGCACGCTTGCAATTTACATTCTTCGGTGTGTTTGAGATAGGTACACGCGTGTCTTCGTCGTACGAGAGGAGATTCTATGTGTTTACATACTCACTCTCAGTTTGTATTTGTATGTGTACGAGTGTGTATATGTGTGGGTGTGTAACTCTGGCTACATTTGTGTTCGTGCCTTATCCAGTCGAGCAAAGACGTTGAGATCCGACAAGCGATCGTTGATATAATTGGACCGGTCGGACTCTATACACGCTGGTCAGTTTTCTGGGATTACATTCTTGAAATCTCTTTGTCTCAACTCATCACGGCAACTTTACTCTTGTATAGCTGAACAACGAATTAGTTGCGCTTCAGGGAATTCCGACGAATTTCGCGTTATTTTGAAAGATTATTTATTAATGATAAAAAGGAGGAAGCTTAGGCACAAAGATGCGACAAAATTAATCTAATATCATTTTAAAATTAAGGGATGGAATTAATTAAAATAATCCATGATTTGTTCAAATGCAAAGTAAGAATATATAATAATATAAACATTATGTTAACAACTCATTTTTTTTTAACTATGATGACCCAATTGTATAATTAATTGCATAATTATTTAATCAGTTATTTATATAAATAATTTTTATTATTTTTATATATATATATTGATTGTACTGCATAAATACAAAGAACTACATAGACATTTATATTTTTACATATAAAATGAGCTGTAAATGATATCTTGAAGAACAAGAATACCTTCATAAATTAAATTAAAAAATATTTCTATCTCGATTTAATTTTTACATTGAATTATTGAATTATCTTCTTTGTCTCTCCTTGAAATTAAGCGATTAAAAAGAAATGTATTTCAAGGTAAATTGTATAACTTTACATGTATATAAACTGCATTTAGCAAATATGTAACATATAATAAAGTCAATAAAGTTAAGAGATTATCATAGATATTAATAAGTACATTTACTGAACTTTTTTATTCTCTTGCACTTTGCAAAATATCAAAATTAAGATTTTTTGAATTTGATTTCAGGGGGCGGTCTTCAATTTATCATCCAATAATTTATATGGTAAGTACTTGCATGGGTGTTGGCTCCAGGTAGCTTCGTAAAAGTAATTAACTCTTATTACTTTTAATTAATGTAACATTTGTATATATTAAATAAAATGTCAATCTAAGTGCTTCTACAACAGGTAAGGTCTCTTAATAATTTTTTAATAATAATTTAAGTAGCTGGGTGATTTTTTTAAATTAATAGTTTAAATAAACTGATATGCGTGAGAATTTTGATTTATTTTTGAGATTGTAATCAAGTAGAGAAAAGTAGACAAAAAATTGAAGTAGAGCAAAAATACTAGAGTTAAAAACATCATTATAATGTATCGTAAGAGATCATCAAGATAAAATTGTCCGTTGAAAGAGTTAATTATTTCTTTGGTAACAGTTACTAAAATAGAAGAACAGACGCGTTAAAAATCGTCGACTTAATCCATATTTATGATATCATACTTTGCCTACTAATTTCTACATCAAGCTTTTGAAATAGATTACATTATCGTAGTTTTCATTAATACGCCGGATATAATAATTCTATAAATGCTTTTATAATTAAAAAAAATTTCTTTTAATTCGTAATGTAATGTATAATAATGTTGATAAGGAAAAAGCAAATTTTTTCATTCTCTTTTTTAACAAATTAATTAATTATCTCAGAAAAACAACCACAGCGGTACAATAATTACGAAATGAATAAATATGTTTTCTATTAAAACAAAGGCGTGAATTGTATGCGAGGTTTGCGAACGGGAAATAGGATGTGTAAAATGAACTGTCCATCGTAAGAAACGTCGCAATCCAAGCAAGCTGTAAGTTTTATCCGCCACCCTCCAACCCCTTATGTGTACCTTATTACCTTTGCGTGCGATATTCTCGGTACACCTTCTATCATGATATTCGCCCCCTGATGTAAGCCGCTCCCTCTCGCGAAAGCCGCGTCACCTCTCGCCCCAACGCGGCGCCACCATTCTCACTTAGAAATGCCGCCGCGATATCCCAACCGGGACGAGTTGGTTCAGTGGTTTCCAAAAGTCGACGAGTTGACGATTCGACGGCGGCCAAATCGCGTCAGTTTCTGCAATACTCGGCGAAAGCAGTCGAGAGAGAGAGAGAGAGAGAGAGAGAGAAGAGAGGGTTGAGAAACTAGGGTAGAAAATGTGAATCAAATGTCTTCCTGCGCTTTTGACAGATAGTCAATGAAACTATGCATATTTTATGAAATGAGAAGAATAATTATCTAATATATTTTAATTAAACTATGCATAATGATGGCTATTTGCACATTGTTCTTCATAAGAAATTATAAAACAAGTATGGTCTATAATATATACATTATTTTTCTTGAAATAAGCTACTTTTGGATCTCTTGATGATGATGATGATTTATAATTATATTTAGCAATAAAACGTTTGAAATTGAAATATATCTTTTGATTGTAATGTTAATTTGAATTGTAATATTATATGTATCGGTATGAAATATAAACAGGAAAATAAAAACTTGAATCGCGAAAACAACGAACAGTATAAGAAAATATAAGAAAAAATAACGAGCCTCCGGATGAAAAATGTATATGATTATATATATAAGAAAATGAATAGAATGTTATTCTCTTATGTGTCATAAAAATACTCTTGTGGAAGAAGTAAAATTTATAGTGGACTAATGAGTAGAAATAAAAATATGATATACATATTTATGAAGAATGTTGCTGGCTTCTTTTGTGAAGAACTATAATCACACCATGCACCTCAGATTATCAGGTATAAAGGAATGAGAGGAAAATTCTGCTAAAATAAAAAAAATGTGATACTTAATGCAATTACAAGATATGAGAAAAGTAATTTCTTGTTGCAAACGAAAGAGAAATATACTAACTACTATTGAGTGTGTACATATTATCTCTTCAAGATTTCACAGTATGAGTATAATCTCTGCATCTCTAAAATCTTAAGACTAATACAGGATAGGGAAGGAAGTGAATAACGTGTACGAAAAATTCGAAAAAGTGCTGCCTCGTAGGATCTAAAAGAAAAAAAAATAATTTCGACGAAGATAGTGTAAGAACGAGATAAAAAGACTGCACTCAAGCAAGAAGAAAGAGACAGAAGGAAAGAGAGAGAGGAGAGAGAGAGAGAGAGGAAGAGACAGAGAAAGAGTGAGAGAGAGAAAGATAAATAGAGTAACCTAGAGAAGGACAGAAAATACCGTGTGAGACGTTGGAACGTTGCGAAGTATAAGGCAACGTGGCGAGCCCGACTGCACTGGCGAAGAGGCGAACGTACGGACCGTCGGACGGACGGAGCACGCCGGGTATACGCGGGCGTGCGAGCGAGAGATGCGTGGAAGCCTAAGTGTGGGAAGAGAGTCCGCGGTATCGGCGAAAAGGAAAGACCGGAGCGAGAGGAGCGCCGATGGAGAAAGAGACCCATTCATCTTGGCGCACCTAGCGCGCCTGCGATTGGTCCACCTCGGGTGAGGCTACATTGGGATTGGACGGTTCTGTTTACCAGCTGGTACCCCGGCGCGTTCTACGCTCGTAGAAGAAGAGGGGGGAACAGAACGGGAGAGACAAGCGGCGCCATTATTGTAAGGGGTTACATTTAGCTCGCCGTGGGTTGTAGTACGCGGCGTTCGGGATAGGGGGCTATAGTACCTTCATGCATGGCCCATAAAGGATTCGTCGACTATCCGAGAAGTACGCAAGAAACGGCTTCTAACACCTGACAGGGGCCACGCTCTTCTCTTCTCTCTCCTCGTGCCGTCGTCGGGTTCTCATCGTCGCCCAATTTCCGAGTTGGGACTACGAGTTGGGTCGTCCGGGGTGGGTCCGAATTGTGAAGAAAGACCCGCTGCTTTATCGCCGATTTTTATTTCCGATACCGGGTGGATTCGGTAATTCCTGGGAGGGCGCGCGATTACGAATTTGAGCGAGGGTTCGGAAATTTTCACGAACACGGGGATCTCCGGCACAAAGAGATCCGTGGGCTCTCCTGGCTCCGAGAGAGAGAAACCGGAGAGGAGGGACATGTCATTTGCCATCGCGGACGGTCGGTGATTCGTGGTCCAGTCGTTTCCCAGTGACCGCATGCATCCCGCCGCGTTCGGTATTGTTGTTGTGATAATGTGCTGAGAGTTGCATAAGTGGTACCAGTAAAAGTGGACGCTGATTGCTGATAAAGAAGGAGATAGTGGACGGGCGCGGGGAAAAAGCAATTAATCTTCTTGGAACAGGCACCAACAAAAAAAGAGAGTGTTTGCGCGCGTCATTCTTCCCTGAAGAGCAAGAGAGGGAGAGAGAGAGAGAGCCCTGTTTTCCTTGACGTGGTTCCGAGAGATACCAGTGTATGTATTCGTGATCTGTGCCGAGATTGCCAATTATGCAATGAGGTATCAGCAGCAGCAGCCGCCGATGGACGTGTCATCGCGGTGTCGGTGTTGAGGCACTCGTCCCGGTGATCCCTTGGATCCGGGCGTGTCTTCGGCATCGGGTCCGCATCGGCACCGACAGCGGCCCCGATATGAGTACGAAATTCATAATTGATAGTATGCTACCTGCTAAGTACCAACAATTTCATCCGCAACAGTTGTTCTCAAGCGCGAATCCAGGTAGTATCCAGGCGTGCACGACGAGTCCGGCCACCGCGAGTCTAGAATCGAGTCTATCCGCGGCTGCAGTTGCGGCCGCGGCAGTCAATTACGCCCAGCAGCACAACTCGCCGAGCCCGACGGGTTCGAGTCCCCAGCACTCGGGTAGCTCCGCATCGACATCACCGGCGGCCCGCACCACCTCCGGAATGTATCCCTACGTATCCGCCGCAGCGGCGCATCATCATCATCAGCAGCAGCAGGCGGTCGCAGCCGCCGCCTTCGGCGCCACGTCCAGCATGGTACCCGGTTTCGGGTCCACCGCGGCGTCCAGCGCTGCCCTGGCGGCCGCCGCCGCCGTCGACGCCGCGACCGCCGGAGACAAATCCTGCCGTTACACCGCCAGTTTAACCGGGAATGTCGCACCCGCGTCGGCCGACCCGATGGTTAACTATACCCTGGGTCACCATCATCAGAACGGCGCTACACCCGGTAGCCTCGTCTCCTCCGCGTCCGCATCCTCGGCGGTTTCCGCTGCCTCGGCCTCCATGGCCGCGGCGGCACAGTTCTACCATCAGGCGGCCGCCGCGTCGGCCGTCGTTGATCCCTTGACGTCCTGCCAACAACCCACCACCGGTCAACCCGGGATCTCGGACATACCTCGGTACCCCTGGATGTCCATCACCGGTGAGTTTTCGGTTTTATAGTACGGTTGGTAGAGAGCTTTTTTTATTATCTCTTTTTACTATTATTTTTTTATTACCTTGGAGATTCATGTATTAACGAGATATTCGCGTGATTCGCGTGTAATACATCACAACGAGGATTCGTGATTTTATCGTCGCAGTTGCTTGACTATATCATGAGTAGAATGTGCGAATATATAACTTTTGCAGAAGTAGACTTATGAGGAGAAGTTAAATTATGGCGTCGTAAAACACGTCTTAGGCACGTCTTTTTTTAGCTGGCTAATTCGCCGTTGAATTGTTATTCCCCCGAACATCGTTGTGGTATTAAATAAAATTGTAATACACCATTTGCTGCAAATTAATATCAACCAAATGTACAATCAAATGTACATGGACTACGATTTATTTTAGATAAGTGCTGTGCTTTTTTTTATTTCGATTGTATAATTAATTATATATATTAAAATGTAACAAAAAGCGATTAGAAAAGTGCATAAGTCTGTTTCTGCATTTTTATGATTTAGAGATTGATTTGCTGCGATGTACATTTTTTTATATTGCATGATTGAAAAAATATGCATTAACGAATGCAATTTGCATGAAATTTTCAGCATGATGTGAGGACAAGATATACTAAACTGCTCTCTATCGCGATTAATCGTTTCATACAAAAAATGTTTAATGTAAAATGTAAAAGATTAAAAGACTAGAAACAATTATACGTTATAAAAAAACTATCATTTATTATTATATAATAAGATTAATTCATAATTTATTTAATGTATAAACTCTCTTGTAGTTAAATGATATGATTTTTATGCAAAACGTGAGATGAAAAATTACGTATAAATAATTCTCGATTGCCTCTATACTTTCATTGCTATTTTATTAAAGCTATTTGAGAGATATTGAATTTATTAATTATTATACATTCTTTTCTACTTTCTTTAAATTATAAATTGTGGGAAAATGCTATATTAAATATTTTGTTTATGAAAACACTTATATATGCAGGAAAAAAGATCAGGGGAAAGCGGATATTTCTTATAAAATTCCTATATATAATTTACGATCTTAATTAATTTCTACGGTTTGCAATTTTCATTATACAGTTATGTTGAGAGACATGTAGAACAGTAATTTATTTATTAAAAATATTAAAAATATTAGACGCAGTATACAATGCTTGTAAGTATACAAACATTGTTCATCTTTACACATGTTTTCATTCGATGCCGCATTTTGATAATGCTTGATAATAATAACACCAGCTATTCATGATTTAACACGCATCAGAAAACGTACTTTTAATGTATGTGCACATATACATACAAAAATGCTTCCATTTTATCGCAATGTTCTTTTTATGACAGAATTATTTTGCCAATTTTAGTTGATTTTTCTTTAAAATAAAATATCGAAATACTTATATGTAACTTTTGAGTAATTTGGAATGGAACGTGACATTTAACAGCTGATAAATCTTCAAATTAATTTTTAAAAATTCGTCTATGAAGCTGATCAAGATATTTTTATATTTTTCTACGATTTTAGAATCGCGTGACATTAATTTTCCTGCATTATTATAGGTGTAGACGTAACAGAGTTTTCGAGAACGAAAACATTTCGCAATTCGGTATGTAACAGATAATTTTCCAAGAATACAAGGATATATCTATTGAAGAGTATACACACTTTACATTTATAAAATCGGAGTCCCAGACGCTGTTGTTACCGCACGAAACTTGCAAGTTATTCCGATGTACATAATACAACCGTACGTGAGTCTCGTCGAGGTGTAGTGTCTTTGTCCACCAAGGTGTTAGCTAGGACAAAGCACCGACGGTATTTATCGCGGTATATTCGCGGCGAGCACAACACAACAAGAGCCCAGTTCTCTCTGCTGTCTCGCATTCTCTGTTGACGCTGACGCGCGCGAAATTTTTTTTCCGACATATTTTTTCGCGCGTTTGATATTGTTGAGACGAAAACGGCACACGCGAAATAACTCCGAGTGAAAAACAGGCCTCGACTTCGCGCGAAAGAGATCAGCTGATTTTTGACGTTTCTTACCCGCGTGCACAATTCATAGTTGCGATTTTTGATTTGTCGTTCCAAGTAAAAGCTCTAGTTCAATTGCAACAACAATCGTGTCTGTCATAGTCTAGATGACGTCGAGTTGGCTGAATCATTTTTTAATCGACTTGAATTATTTAAGGCATCGCCACGTCTTGCGATGAAAATTTTCGGAGGATGCTGCGATCTCTCGTTTTGCCAATGCATATACACACAGATACACTTGTGTATGTGTGTGTTGGGATGCAATAATATAATACAAGGCATACTCTCGCACGGAGTAAGGGAATCACGGAATATATTGCGATTAAGTTGTAATCTTTGAATATGCAAATTATTTTCCGAAGCCCGTTTCGCTATCAACACGTTATAATAATACTTGGCGTTAACGTGTTAACTTTCCGTTTCGCCAACTCGTGAGGTCTCGCATTATTTCGAATTATAATTCGCTCTCGTGTAATTTCTAATGCGAGTATCGCGATAGCGCTGATTAGCGATATAAGTTTAATTTCCACCTTCTGTTTACCTTATATTTTAGCAATTGCTTGTAATTGTCAAAAATAAGTAACAAAATTGACGCATTAATCTGAAGTGATTCTTCTTTCTGTGTTTACGTTACCTAAAAAGTCTTAAATCATAAATTATTCAATCGTGATTTTCAGATTAATCTCTGATTATTTATCATTTTATCTTATAAAATCTTGTAAAATGCTTCATTGATGTCTAATTATTCTCGTTTCATGTTTTAACTTCGTGTATTTAAATTTCTTATACTATAATTAAATGTCATCTTTTACTTTAGTAGCGCTTTTGCACACTTTTAAATACGACAACAGAAAAGTATAATCTAATATTATTTTCACTCTAGTTCACGTATGTGCCTTTATAATTTTATTTACTTCTACTTTTATATATACATATATATATATATATATATATATGTATATGTATATATACATATATTTGATATACCTCTCTAGCTTCTTTAAAGAGTTTACGGTTTTTCGAGCACTTTTACTGTCATATGTCTATTCATGCGTCAATATGTTTCTTATCTATTTTATGAGTGTGTAAGAATAACTTTACGGCTTTGGGGAGAGCGAGGTGAATGATTCAGCCGACAATGTAGCTTGACGATTTTAGTTCGCGAAACCATAATGGAAATCAGAATCACGTTGCCACGAGTATATATATTTTCCCTCTTTACAGCGCGCAATTCTAATATTTTAATTATTATTAGTTTTTATTTAATTTTACATACATGGTTGCGCATATATGTGCGAACATTTATATTTTTATAAAATAGAGCAATGTAATACAAGTAGTTCCTTAAATTAATTTTATTATTGAACAACGTAGATATCGATTGTTTATAATTTTGAATCTAATTAATTTCAATATGCACACATGTCAACGTTAGATATTTTAAAAATTATTCTGAGGTTTCATTGGGGGGAATTGTCAAGGACAACTCGTTAAGATTCTTAATGCCTCGCAGATCACTAATGCCAGTCTAATGTTATCTATCAATCATTAAATCCAATCATTTGCCATTGCCGTTTATTTATTTAATTAAATTAAACTTACGTATATAGTTCCCGTATTTCTATTTCTTTATTTATATCTCAATGTTATGTATTTATGTAATATTTAATATTTATGGATATGCATGTGCGTTTGAATGTGTCTTGCGACTTGGTTACAATATGCTTAAAAAATCTTGCCTATCGTATTATAAGCTTATCTCAAGTGCATGCGTAAAGTTTTATAGCTTTAAACTACGCATGAAGTTGAACTTTCAAAGATTTGTGTTACTATCTTATTTGACATTTTAAGCAAGAAGACGAAAGATGCTTCTTTTTGCCTTCCCTTGTTTAATTTTTTTCGGATATTTGAATAATTTTTTTTATTTTTCAGATTGGATGAGTCCATTTGATAGAGTCGTGTGCGGTAAGTATTGCTATTAAAATTTCAAGTTATATACCATTATTACTTATACAATATTGTCATTATTTGCGCACATATTCGTTACTATAAATATATATTCCATATTTCTGCGAATATACAATATGTAACAAGATTCTATCTAAAACTGAAACATTTTTTTAAAATTTGAAAGTTTGATGAGAGAATTGTGAGAAATGATATTAATTCGGGAAGTCACAAAAATTATAAGGTTTTTTTTAAAGATGCAATTTGAGTGATCAATTACTCAAATACTTAATCAATTATGAATCAATTAAATTAATTATGAAATACTTACTGATAATATAATTTTTGCACACGTAGATTGTTAATATAATATGAAAATTTTTCTATATGCACACATTTTCACTTTTTTGAGCTCTGTCGCAAAAAGCTACATGTTTTTAATATAAGATCTGTGCAAGGACAAAATCTAATAAGGATCAAAGACTGCTAGAGAGGAATGATTCTTCCCATACGTACCAAATTACGGGCCCCATATGTTAGCCACATTTCGTTCTTTCTTCAGCTCTTTCTCAAGTTTAATGTATAGTCGAAACATACTCGAATAGGATATTATAGTCGGCTCTTGAATCGAAAGAGCGCAATGATCTAGCCTTTCCTTGAGTTCTCTTCTACACACGCGCACACACACACACACACACTGACTTTACTCGGGGACATTGACACTTTCACGTACATATACACATAAAATTGAAAGTTACCATCATATAACATTTCCCCAAAACAAAATTTGTTTTCGCACGATCGAGTCGTTGTCGATCAGCTGTTTATCGAGGTTTAACGACTTGGTCGTAAACGTGTATATACGATAAAAATAATGTAATTCCGAGAGTGTGTCGAGATGCCAAGGTCATTGTTCGGGATCGTTTACGTGCTACCGGGCTCTGCACACGCGCTAAGTCCTTATACCCTATTCATTTATGTTAGTTGCGCATGCAAGAAAGGACATGTATATGGGCAACTACACCTGTCGTCACTGTGATAATGTTAGTCGCGAATAATCTCCGTGACTATCTTTTATACGGCCACTTACAAGTCCACAATAGCGCAGTAAATACCGATTAGATAAAATTAAAACTTCAGCCGTTGGCTTTTATCGTGATGGTTTGTTTACATCGGACGGATCATAATTTCAAATAGGCATCGGCGATCGCTATACCAGTGTTATACCAACCTTCAGAGAAGGCAGTGCTTTAGCTTAACACGGTAGGAAATTACATTCCGATATATTCAAACGGGATATACAATATCTGTCTCTGTGTACATTCAATTGGCCGACGAGAGAATATCGCGTTCGCCATTATATACATTATCCTGCTGTTTCTTGCTAATCTTTGCCAGAAATATTAAGATGCGCACCTGTATATTTCAAACAAAGCAAAGTAAGTCAGATTGATTTTTCATTTTTATCATTTTATATTAGCATTGATTAATTAATCGTACGTTTCTATGGGATTTTGGATTAATGGTGTTACATATAAAATTAATAAAATATGATAAATAAAATGTATATCTAAATGTGAGTAAAGCATTGAGATAATCACTTGAAACTTGAGGTAAAATAATATTGCATGGCAATAATAAAAGTAAAAATGAAAGATATTTAACATTATAAATTAAACTATCTGAATAAATATATTATTTTAATTAATTTTGGCACTTGAATGTAATGTTGGAGAATTTAATTTTTGGATATACAAATATTTTTTTTATATATAAAATATTATTTTTGAAATTCCATTTAATTAAATTGATTAAAATACATGGCAAAACTCTCTTTATTATTACTATAGTTTTTTAGTATATCAATTAACGTCACATTCGATACAAAAGGTATCTAAGATAGTATTTTATCTAATCTATATCTAATAAGATATCTAAGATATCTTAAGATATTTTATGATTGCGATACAAAAGATTTATAAAATGTTTTTGCTTTTCAACATTTATCAGACGTATGAATTCAATTGAGAAGTACTTTTAAATCCTTTTTTCTTCATTCGTTAACTCATATACTCTTCTTTGTTTCATGTGATTAATACCTATGAATGCTATGCTCTGAAATTTAGAATCGGCAAACGAGAAACTTGTCTTTCAAGGTCGCATCTCATTAAAATTTGCTGCATCTAGAAATACAGGGATCCAATAATTTATGATACAAGTGAGATGAGAATCTGATATTTCTCTGAAAAAGAAGGAACATAGACTATGTTTTTACTGATTGTCTAGTTCTCGAGAAATATAATTTTGAATATAAGAATAGTATATGTATATTTATTTGATTGTATTGTAAGTCTGGTATGCTTATTGATTATTGAAATATTAAAGTGTGTGTTTCTCGTGTGACTTAGAATTTATGCGCATGACACTACGTGCTTATTTTAGGAATTGATATTCGTCCTTAATATTTTTTACTAGGTTTGATATTGACGAGATAAGATAAAATACGACATAAGCAATCGTGATATTAGTATACTTCTGGTGTCAAGAACAAGTAACATGTATCTAATTATTACAAATTCTATTTTAACAGGCGTACAAGTACAATATATCAAATAGATGTATATAACTTTTATATTTAAAATTATGTTCCATCAATTAAAAATAAATATAATATGTTAATTCTATTTTTAATTTATTTTTAAACGAGAAATCAGGTTCTTATTGATTGTCAAATTTTTATATATGCAGATTTGATTGCAGTTCGATTTTCTAACGATGTGTGAACAGATTGCGAATGCGATATACAGCGATGTATATTTTATCGAGTGCTACATTAAAGCGTGTACGCCAGATGCGATTAAGATGATCTTATCTTCTCATTCATACCGATACCAAGCAAGATAAAATAGCTTCACATTTGTATCTGCGCTCTGGCAAATTCGACAGATTCTTTCTGATCTTTTTCGTCTTCTTCTCTCGATTCGAGAACAGAGAATGGTTTCCAAAGGACATTTTTGTGCTACGAAATTAACATTTCTTCCGATTAACGAAACTGTACACCGAAAAAATTGTATTCTAAGCGTCAAGAGGATCCTCTTAATTTAAGAAATTCCTCTAAATTCTAGTATATTTTTTTCTGAAAATAAAAATAAATTAAGAATATCATCTTAAATTAAGAGGATCGATCCTCTTGGCGCTTAGAATACAATTTTTTCGGTGTACGGTAACCAAACAGCGAAATTGCTGGCGAGGACGAATTTGTAATCTGTCTCGCGAGTAGATACGCCAACACATTATTCCGACATCGAGGTTCACGCAGGCCCGGGAAATCGTCTACCTGGATTACGGTGTGTGTACACGCAGGACTAGCACGAGATAATGTATAATTTATAATCAGGCCGATCCCGCGCGCCTGCTCTACGGGGCAGAGTCCACTGCCCCAAAAGCCGCCAACCCCTCATTAGCATTCGATGATGGCTGCCGCGTCCTGCAGCGTCGGTATTATCCCATTTCATCGTATCCCCCTGTCTCCCCTACTTGGACCCTATCCTCGAATTCTCCCGCCTCCCGGTTCTCTCTACGTCGGCTCTCTCTCTCTCTTTCTCTCCTCGTCTCTCACGCACGTAAACGTTTTCTCCCTCGCCCCTGGATCGCATCAGCAGGTATCCGACGTTGGCTGGAAAAAGAATAGCTTCCTCGCCATCGAAATTTTATCCGGAAAATTTCATCAGGAATTCTGCTTTATGCCATCGATGCTCTCTCACGCATTCTTTTTGTTTTGTTTTCCCATCGGCTTCTTTTTCTTCGGTTTTCGGTTAGTCATTAATATACGGTCCCTGTCGATGGAAAATGTCCGCGTGTAATGAAAACGAACACGAACGTGGATTTCGTGAGGCGTGCGAGAAATCGGAGAGTTGATCATGAAGCGACTCACAAAAAAAAAAAAAAAAACAGAAAGGGAAAAAAAGAAAGAAAAATTCGGTAGACGCAGAAATCGATCGAGAGATTCGTGAACCAGGAGGGGAGACAACCATCGAAATTTTGTTTCCATTATTCGGTAGCTCTCTCTCTCTCTCTTTTTTTCATAACGGAGTCTCTTCCGGGAGTAAGCCACGCTTCCGTAGACAGGTCAGAATCGTGTTGTCACAGAGATTATTGAAACTGCAGTTTTATGGGCCTTAAAAGCAGTTTAATTGCCGTTATATAAGTGTTTATATACGTTGCCGCAGGTTCGGCCTGCGCCACCCCGAGGAACGTTTATTTTATGGTCATACGGCTGCGGCGGCGCATATTCCGTTATGTCGCGTGCCGAAGCCATCACGCCAGTCAAATCCTCAGGACCCGACCGGTCGATTCCGAAATATCAGCGCGGTATAACGTTTACGCCGACGGCCACCCCGGAACGATACCTATCTCGCGGCGTATGCTATTCGGAATTGGAACGACCGAGGATTTGACTGATGTAAGACTCGCTCGACCCGAGCTTACACTTTCGCATTTTACTTTTTTTTATCGAAAAGACAATTCTATAACGTTATTGAATATATGTTAATAGAATTATTATTATTATTACGCGTAATAAAAAGAGATGCGTGAAAGGAACAATATATCTCTGCATCTTTCAGAAATATTGGAGTTGCAATTTTACATTTATAATGATTCATTTAATTTGATCTTCAATTATTTAAATATATTTTTTATGTATTTCAATAGCTTTTTTTCAAAGTTTGTAAAAGAATTTTTATTTTATATGCATATATATTGGACATTTTAATTCTTGATGTATTGATACATATTATAATATGTTAAATTTTACATATATATTTTTTTTAGTATAAATTTTATTAAAAATATCTTTTATGTGAATCGTTACGCACAAAATGTAACATGTTTTTCTCTCTCTTTGTTGTTTTAAAAGAATCATATATTATATGCCTATATATTAGTTATTTCTAGTAACTCTTTTTCGAGAGAGTCTCTCTTTTAACTTTTTGAAACTTTTATTCTTTGTCCCATGA